CAGCCGCTCTCACGTCCTGGAGCTCAGCCTGCAGCTGGGACAGTCGGGTGTTGAGCTGATGAAACTCGTGGTAGACCAGGTAGCTCACCCCGCAGTAACGACACAACGTCTCGCTTCGCTCCATCTGCAGGAAAGTTTAATAAAAGAAATTTAAAAAAAGATTTGGATGAATTTCCAGCACCAAAAACATCTTCACATCCAAATCCTCTAGTGATAGAATTGTGAATATAATATTTTCCTTCATAGATTTTTGTCAATTTCCTGCAAAAAGTGAACCTGAAGAGAGAAGATCTAATGTTAGTTTGGCTTCAGTGTTGGTTGGCTCACTGATCACTGATCGTTGACTGTAGCTGAGTGTGGTTTCTTCTCTGTGGTCTCCAGGTCTAGTCGGTGACAGAGGCAGGAGGTGTTTGTGTGACATGTCTGGTGTCAACAGCTCCAAACTGATAACAAGGAGGTGCTGTTTGATACTGTGGCGTGAAAATGAGCTGGAAAACATTCATTTAAAGACACAGTTTGAAGGTTGACGAGACTTCGTGGCTGCTGTACCGGCTCATTATGGTGATGACGTGAAAGAGCAGATCACAGTTCTTTAATGAGGAGCAGACGGTCGGGGGGCACGGGGGGGGATAAGATATTCTATCTTGTGTTTTATTTTAGACAATGGTTTTCAAATGTTTGTATAAAATAACAGAAAATAAATATTTTAAATTCTATGGCAAAATAACTGATTATATCCAAATGAAATGAAGTATTTCTCATAAACGTACTGCAGTTCATGAAACCAGAACATGAACTGATACAAACACACGTCGAACTTTAATCCTAAAACACCCTCTCACTCAGTGGGGCACTGAAAAATACCACCCCCCCACCCCGGGACAAAATGTCCTTATAACAAGTTTTTGTTTTTTTAATGTCCCCACAATTGCAGCAACCCCAGCAGCACACACACACACACACACACCCTGAGGGCAGAGTGTCTGCTTCACCAGTCGGCTGTGTGCTCCCGTGACTGACCCCCCCCCCCCCCCCACAGGCAGACCCCGTACCCTGGGCAGTGACACGTTCACTTACCACTCCAACCACAGAGCTAACGTCCACAGCTCTCACACACACACACACACACACACACACAACAAACCGTCAGAGTGGATGAACTAAATAAAAGTATGAATTTTAGAACGATCTTTGTGGAAATGTGCCAGACTGTTTAAAAGCCTCATTGAAGACGTGCAAATACATTCACATCAAACTGTCAGATTTATTCATTCTTCTTCAGTTTATCATCTTATTTTTGTCACTGAGAGACGATTTTTTTTCCAAGAAAAATTTCCATCTGAAAGAAACGACTGTGACAGGTGTAAAAGGTGTAAAAGAGTGAGTGTTTTCTAACTTCCTTCCACCTCCATGTTGTCACCGTTTTACCTCCGTGCTGCATCACTTAAAGACGGGAATATTACCTCCTGCCTGATGT